TATACTTGGTGCTCAAATTGGATCCGATGTTATTCTATCGGATATTCGTTGTCTCACTGATCCTCATCTTGTAAATATTGGTGATCATGTTCGCTTGAATATGGGTGCTTCCGTACAAGTAAGCTATGATTCTATTATATTTTGTTCATGTTATGCATTTTATTTTTTTTTCTTCAGGCTCATACATTCGAACAGCGTATATTCAAACTGGCACCAATCACTGTAAAACATTCTAGTGTACTGATGACTAATACGTTGGTACTTTCTGGATCAACACTTCAAGGACAAAATCGTATCTTACCATGGACACTTGTGATGAAGGAGGATCAACTGCCACCTAACACAAGCTGGTCTGGTGTACCTGCTAAACAAGTCATCTAAAGTTTTCTAAGGAACCTTCAAATGACATTTTTGATTATTTCATATTTTACTGCAATATAAGTTACTCTTTTATCCAATATCTTAATAAAAAGCATAATCAAGCGTTTGAACTATTTTTTAAAGGAGAAAGAAGGACGTGGGTGTGGAATGTGAGTGTGGGTGGATGTGGAGTGGTCCGGGTGTGGATATCGACGTTGATAGGAGATTTGAAAAGATCCACACCCACATCTACACCCTACCATTGTAAAATGGAAACGGAAAATCGAATTTGGCATAAACAGGCAAATGAATTCTGTACTAAAACCACATTTCAACGATTTTGTGAAACTGGTACTGTCAAAAATCGATGAAGTTCTGGAAGATTCTAGAATAATTACTGAGGAAAAGTCGATGACGTTAATGAGGCATATAAAAATGAGCCAAGGTCAAGCGCCCAATTTATGTAACACTTCTTCGTAGAACTGTTGAGCAAATTGTACCTTATATGGCTTTAATAAGAGGGTGGGTGTGAGGGTGTGGGTGTGGGTGTGGGTGTGAGTGTGAGCGTGGGTGTGGGTGTGGGTATGGGTGTGGGTGTGATTGAAGAAAAGAATAACACCCACAGCCACACCCAACCACAGCCACACCCAACCACACCCACACCCACACCCACACCCACACCCACACCCACACCCATATCAACACCTACACCCATACCAACACCTACACCCACACCCCGCACCTACAACCACACTTTGTTGACTTTGAATTTTTT